GCCGGAGAACGTTCATTCATTTTGGGATTGCACACCTCACGGAAGACGGGAGCGTGCTTGTTAGCAGTGGTCCTTTGTAGGGACTTCTGCCTGCATGGGAGGGAGTGGCTGAGGGAAGGAAAGGGAGAGTAAGGGACCCTTACCTGGTGGCTCAATGGACGTTTCTGATCTAATCAGCTAGTTAAGGATACTCCAGAAAAGGCTGATTGCCGGGATATCATTACCCGACTCTGAACGGCGAAGTCTTGTTTTCAGTGTAAAACAACGTCTTAACTGCAAAGTCTTGTTTCCGTGTCTGTCGGGTTCTTGTGAGGGCGTGGAAGGGAGGGAAGGAGAGAGGAGGGCAAGCACTCCCATCGTTCCGCACCCTCTCAAACCTGGGGTCTGTGGATGCACCACGGCAGCACCACGGAGAGCCTGCTAGAAGTGCACCTCAGGCCCAAACCGGAGCCGCTGACTCCGCACCTGCGTTTAAGAGCCCCCAGGGGATTCCTGTGCACACCTGAGTTTGAAGAGTGGTCCCTCCACTGGGCGATGGCAGCGCCGGGGCCACACGGACGAGCTGCCTGTCTGGGCACACTTCGAGAAACGCTGGACAAATAAGGTGTATCAGCTCTAAGTGCTCAGCGTTTAAGAATCAGAGTTTAATTTTGTTTGTGGCTGAAGACCAGTCCAGCCCAGCATGTTTGATCCAACAGAGTGTCCTTGAGGAGCGGGGTCTGCACGGCAGGGACGAGCTGCTCCTTGGTGGCGGCAGGGGGGCTGCTGTCCTGCACTGGAGCATCAGAGCGGCTTCCGTGACAGCAGTCACAGACGGTGACCCCCATTTTTTAAAAGTAGTTTTTCTTTTTACTCTTATTTGTGCTTAATTTGCTTATACTTTTTATCTTAATTTTTTAAATTAGTTGACATTCAATAGTATTTTGTGTTAGCTTCAGGCGAACAGCATAGCGCTTAGACAGTCATGTACAACACAAAAGGGTCCCTCTTGATGTTTCACATACTCACCTGGCACCATAAATAGTTACAACAATATTATTGACTGTATTCCCTGTGCTGTACTTTACACCCCCGTGGCTCTTTTATAACTGCCACTTCGTATTTCTGAATCCCTGCCCTTTTCTCACCCCATCCCCCAATACCCGCCCACCCGGCAGCCGTCAGTGTGTTGTATCTGTGAGTGTATTCATTTGTTTATTTTGTTGTTTACATTCCCTGTATAAGTGAAACCGTGCGGTATTTGTCTTTCTCTGAGTGACTGACTTCATTTAGTATAATACCCTCAGGGTCCACCCCCCCCCCCCATTAACCACAGAGGAGAGAATGAAAAGGGTACTTGCAGTTTTTTTAGACTTCCGTCCTGCCCTTTCTGCACTTGACAGCATGTCATCCTCCGGGGTTTTCAGGGAACGGGGCCCGTGAGAGGTGTGTGGCTTCCTCAGGGATGCGCCAGGCATGGTCCTGGGCTGACTGGCACTGGGACGACTGTCAGGACTGGCCCACAGTGGCCCAAACCTGGCTTTATTAAGAACACTTCTCCTGTCGACACAGCCCTAGACCTTCGAGGGGAAAACATTCTGTGAAAGGGAGGCGTCACCTGTCACGGTCACATGTGTGGGATGACCTAGAGAAGCCTTCACTTTCAAAGCGAAGGAGAGATGCTGATGGAACAAGCACTCGACTGTTACAGCAAGTACTGGTTGTGTGTTCAGTCCTTTTACAGCGTGATGCGAAGATTTCTTTTTGCCTGGTCTTTCCCACTGTCTGTGGCGGTCCTCTGTTCCTTCTACAGCAGGTAAAAAGTCACTGAGTTTTTTTCTGTAAAAATAACAACTAAAACAAAAAGATACCTTGTAGTGGTAAAGGGGTGAAGATGACGTGTCCCAGGAGGAATCTGCTCACTTTTCAGGAGTGCGGCTGCCTCCCAGTACCAGCCATTGTGAGCTCCTGCTCGGGCTGCTCCAGGGGCCCAGTCACTGGTCGTGCTTCTTGCTGCTTCCTCTGAGCTTTCTGCTCAGTCCGTCCTCAGCACAGCAGCCCCAGGTCGCACCGGCCCCTGCCCAGAACATCTCAGTCGTGTTCCATGGCCTAACCGTGCCCGGAAGCCCAGCACTCACCTCTCTGACGCATGTCCCACTGTCATTTCCTCTGCATGCCCCAGTCGGACAGGCCACCTCGGACCTTTGCACTTGCTGACCTATCAGTCTGGAACTGTCTGAAGATACCGGCCTTGACTCACCCCCAGACTTCCTTCAGGTCTTGACTCATTTGTCAGTTTCTCAGTGAGGCTGTCCTTGAGTGCCCTATTTAAAACTGAACACTCTCTTCCACTCACTCACCTGACATACCTTGTATTTTACTTACGTTCATTGTCTGTCTTCTCCAAGAATGTTAGCTCTGTGAGTAGAAGGGGTTTGTCTTGTTGAGTGTGTGCGCACAGCCCCTAGAACAATGCCTGGCTTATTCAAGGTGCATGCTGTTTGTTGAGTGAATGGCTGCAGCTGGCCCTCTCCAAACTCAAGACCACTCCCTGTGAATTGGGAGCCAGAAGCAGGTGGGGCTTCTTCCTATCAGTTTTGCCCTCATCCTCATCACATAAGAGGACTGAAATGCTAGGAGAACATCTTTAAGATATTAAGCACAGCTGCGAGCCATTTAAAACATTCTACGTAGTAAGTTAGGGAATGTCATTTAATTGTTGATCTGTGAGGCAAATGGGAGAAGGCAGTCGCTACCCCGCAGGCCTCCTGTGTACCGAGGGTGCGGAGTCGGGCCCTGGGGACAGGAGGAGGTGCGGCGTGCGGACCCTCCTTCAGGGATCGCCACGCTGTCTTGCTGTCAGCCCCTCCCCCGTGGCAGCGTGCTACCGCAGACTCCGTCTTCCGTGCCCCCTGCTCCGAGGACTGCTGCTTTGGGTGCGCCTGCCGGCACATTTGTTTGCCAGCGTTGTCTCACCAAGGACTTCCTTTGGCTACAATGTATGTTTTCCTTTTGTTTGTAGTGTTTCTTAGTAACCCACTGCCACAAAGTGCTCTCTGCGCAGTTGCTATCCAAAGGTATCTTGAACTTTGTGCTCTGTTTCTTTTCTGGTATCTTACCCTTTCCTTTGGCCGTGGAAGTCTGGAAGTCGAGGAAACAAAGGTTACAGAAGAGAATGTAGATGGTGCTCATTGAATTAGTGGCGCTCCCGAGGTGGGAGGGCACATCGGGGGGGCCACAGAGCCCACCCAGGGAAGCCGTATGGTCTGCCTGGCAGAATCGTCCCTGTTGTGGTGACGGGCTCAACCGACCCTGATAGCCCAGAGCCAGCGCTCACGCAGCAGCGTTTGACCTGGGTGTCCGCTGCTGTGCCGCACGCTGACAGGATGAGCATGGTGTCCAGCCTCGTGGAGCTTTTCACAGCCAGCAAGAGAGAGATTAATGTAGGTTAATAACCACAGAAACGTGTGACTGTAAGCTTCAGTAAGTGCTGAAGGAGACGATCAAGGTGTGTGGGAGCTTTGTCCTCGCCCTGGAGTCCTGAGACATTTGAGCTCAGGTCTGCAGGTCACTAGGCATATGCATGCTCTGGAGGGAAGGGGCAGAGTGTGTGTGTTCACCTCCAGGCAGAGGAGACGGGGTGTGCGGAGTCTGAGGGAGGGAGGAGACCAGAGTGGCTGCCGTGTGAGACGATGGGGAGAGTGGAGTGTGGAGGGGGCTGGGGAGGCGGGCAGCCGCAGAGCAAGCAGTCCACGTCCAGGTGTTCGTTGTTAGACGGGTGCAGAGCCTGAAAGGGGTCTTGCAAAGGCAGAGCCACGATCTGCTTTCATTTTTAAAGGTCTGCTCGGGACACATTGTGGGTAGTGAACTGGGAGGGAGGCGTTCGTGTTTGTCGGGGGAGAGGGGGGTGACGGCCAATGGTCTGCAGAGAGGGTGTCGGAGGACGGTGGTGTCTGGGTCGGGATTGCTCTGGCAGGTTCACGGGCAGCCGGGCGTTACTTTGGCTTGATCTTTGACCTGCCCATGCGGCGCCAATCCTGGGGTTTTAGAAACACGGGCTGTCTGAAGACACGTCACTGCATTAGTCAAGCTGGATGGAGCAAGTGTCCAGGCTCTCGGACAGTTAACGTTTTTCCTTATAAATGAGCACATAGGCATTGTAGCTTCATACAGGGTGGGAGCAAAGTCGGTGTACACTCATTAATACGTAATAACATGAGAATAGACTCCATGTTTCATGGACTCACAACTGTAAACCTACTTGTGCCACACCCTGTGATTCAGTATGTTGTGAGCTCTGTTTGCCGGAGTCCGTATCGATGCACTGGACCATTCCTGGAACCCGAGTGATACTCGGACCTGATATTTTTGGAGCCTGCACAGTTCAGGGACAAAATGTAGACGTCATGAATTCCCTCAAGGTCACTGTCACCTGGTGGAGACTCTCTGAACAGCTGCCTTTCCTAGGCAAAATTTTCCCTTTTAACGATGCTTTCCCATGATCATTTTTTAAAAAATTAGGTAAATCTGTAATAGCTACACCCACCAATGGTTTCTATCTTTAGAACAGCAATTATTTCACCCAGTGGGGAAAGGTGCTGCCCACCTGAAAGAACTCCAGAGGGAATGTAGTTTGAAAAGGCATCTGTTTGCAGAAGGATTCAGAGTCAAGGAGAATCTTATACATCGTTTCTCTATGCCAGTAACTTTTTTCTTTAAATTCTTATTTTATTGATTATGCCATTACAGTTGTTCTATTTCCCCCCCTTCCGAGTGACTTTTTATTATGCATGTTGATTTTTTCAGAAACAGTGAGGTGTTTGCTTTTCAAATCTCCCATTACATATACCAGCAGTGATAACTGCCTTGATAGGTCTGTTCGGGGACTGAGTGAAGTGAGGCGGCTGAAGTTCAGTGAAGCCCTGTCGGTCCTCTCAAGTTCAGAAGATACCAAACAGCGATGAAAAACGTATTGTGCATTTGTGACTACCCACTAGCAACATTTTCCTTATCTTTTGCAGGAGGAAAATGGAAGAAACAGACAATTTTAATGGAATGGAATAAACCACTGAACAGGTAACTGGAATTAGCAGGGGTTGCATATGCACCCATTGAGTTTTTACAAGTAAATATTTGTGAAGTCCTTAGAAGAGCACTTGCCACATAGTAAATATCACATAAGTATTTGCTATTAAGTTCTTTCAAACGTACCTGAGCCCAAAACAAAGCAGTCATATAACCAAAGACTATCCAACAGAAACAAATCTATTATTTCTAAAGGAGGGGTGAACACCATTGGTAAGTTGTGGCGTGGTCTCTGTGTGACCTCCTGCAGTGGCCCGGAAAACCTAATTTCTTTTCGCACCCTGAGGCTATGAACTCCCATTTATTTTTGCCTTTGAGCTTCCGTTTATGATGACCTGATCAGTGGCAGGTCAGTTTCAATTTTGAAACAAAACAAGTTTCTTTAAAATTCTTAAAGAGAGACCTTGTCATTTGGGGAAATGGCTGAGTTTAGAGACAGCCATGGAAAGGGCTTATGGAGGGGAAGGTAGAGAGGTGATACCAAGAGCAGCTCCCGGATTTTCTGGTGGTAACTCGAAGACATTTCAGGCACTCTGCTTGGCCTGACTTCATGACAGAACTGTGGGTGTTACTGAGACACGCTGAACAAAGCGCTTGAAAGGGCTGTGTACTGCTGAGTTCTGCGCTTGGGTGTTGGGATCGTGGCGTTGAATCTGTCATCGTTCTCCTCTGCGGCCCCATCTGCCTGGGCTTGCACCAGTGCCTGCCTTTCTGCCTCACTGTGCGGAGACTCGGGTCTTCTGGCCAGAGAGGTGATCCAGGTCTGGCCTTCCTGGGCCCCTCTCCCTGGACACAGCAGCACACTGTACTCCGGGTGGGGAGAAAACGCCGGGTGAGGGCCCGGGGCCCACAGTCTGATTTCATACACGGAGTCAGACCTTTCCCTGGTTGGCATTCATGTCGTGACTTCCTTCCCCCGACTTCTGTTTTACAGTTGACAGAGTGCATTTTAAATACTCTTCACCGTTTTCTATTTTGCCATGTTTTTCTTTTCTGGTTTCCTTTCCCGGCTCTGGTGCTATAGACTGGGGGCCCCAGTTTGGGTTTAGACCCCACTCGTCTCAGGGGGACCCTTCTGGCTGCTGAAATATCCCTCTGGAACTTCAGCTGCCGCCCATGGGTGCCCAGCCAGCCCTCCTGTGCCACCTCCACCCTTCCTACAGGGAGACGTCACAACCAGTCTTGTTGTGAAGCGGTTTTTCCAGTTGATGGTGTTACGGATGACATTGCTAACTTGAGAGAGGTGGGCACCGGTGGGCCACTCAGCATGCTGGTGGCACTCAGCATGGGGGGGTGGCTTTCAGACCTTTTCTTCGGCACCCGTCCCTGTTACAGTAGGACCCATCCATCACACGTGTTTGTACATGCACGCGTATGGTTTCCTGAAACGATGCCTTCACTCTCTGAGTTGTGATAGAATTTTCTGGTCTATTGTTTCCCATCGCTTTTTCTTTTTTCTCTTCCTTCTTTAAATAATTAAACAATTTTTTTCTACCGCAGTTGACACACAAGAGTTTCTTAGTTCCAGGTGCACAGCATAGTGGTGAGACACTTGTGTAACCCGTGAGGTGGTCGCCCCGAAAAGTCCAGTACCCGTCTTACCCCATCGTGGCCATTGTGGTATCTTGGACTGTCTGCCTTACACTATGCTTCCCACCCCTGTGACTGCCGATTCTCCTCTTCTTTGTAGTGCTCCCCCAAATGGGCTTCCTACCCCATGAGTCCATTGTGCTTGGACAGACTCGCAGTATTTTTAGGCTGTGGTGGGAGCACGTTCTTCTCCATATTCAGTAGTGATGCCCACACGTCTCTTTCATCCCCCTCAGACTTGCCTGAACTTAAATCTTACGTTCCAACTCTCCCTTTCCTTTTGTAGTCAAGCTTCTGTTTCTGTTTGATTACATGCTCTTCACGCCTCAACACTTTTTCTGTCTGACCTTTGACACTGCTCTCCTGACCAGTGGCCAAGAATCATTTTATTTACCATTCTGAATGAAAAAGATTTCTCTGTTCTATTCTATCTTGCATGTTAAATATAATTGTCCCAAAACTAACAACTTATTTTTCACCAAATGTCTTTATTTGTTTAGATTCTCCATATTCAGTTTCTCGGAAACAATTCATCTGGTGGTCTGATCTCAGAACTCATGTCCTTACTGTCCCAGGGATTACAGAACCACATGGGCGGGGGTGGGGGATGGGGGGGGTGCTTCTATATTCCGTTGTCTCTTTGGTTGGCGTCATGGGGTGCAGGGAGACACCTGCTGGCCCAGATGTAGTGCTGCACTGTTTTTCTATCTTAAAGTCAATCCCATTGTCATTTTTAGGACCTCACACTCCCACAGTGTGCTGGTAAGTTTGCGCGTTGGGATATATTGAAGTAAGTCACCTAATCTTCTCAAGAATTTTTAGTGTTTGCACCTCAACATTTAATGAACTGAAATGTAGTCATACCATGTCACTCATTCAAGAACCTGATATCTCATGAGAGGAAGGGATTTTTGTGGGAAAACTTGATTCCTTACCTTTGTGTGTTCTTAATGGGGCTACAAAATGATCATTTAGTAAAGCACCCAGTAAATCAAGATCCATTTAAAGCTTTTGGAAATGATAATGCACTCTTCCAAGATAGTTAAGAACTTAAGTTTTAAACAGCATAGGTTTGCAGCTTGGTTTGTTATATGAGAAATACATTTGGTTCTAGTTTTAAGTCTATTGCTGGAGAAAACAATCTAAAATTTATTGCTTAATTTATTTTGAAGCCCTAATGAAAATATCATAGTCACTTCTGTACAATGCTTATTTTAGCAAAATTCTCATTGATTTAAAAGGCAAGTTTATTTATAAAGGAAATGTTAATTATATACATCTGAGATTACTCACTACATACAATAAGTTTTAAAGATTAGAATGTACAAAACGGTTCTTTTAAATAGAACTAAACAAACAATCTCCTGTCTTTGAGGAATATTTTCTAAAGTTCTACTAACAGTGAATGAGACAGCATGCCACAGTTTTTGGTCCTTGTTTACTTCTGGTCACAGCCCCTGCCTGGAAGGCGGTAGGAAAACATCAGAATGTGCACGATGGTCCCTCCAGCCAACACCTTTGCCAGCATCTGGGAGAGGGAGGCGACCTGTGCTCAAAGCCCCAGCCCCACTTTGCCAGCACCCATCTCTTCCTCCATCCATTATCGAAAGTAAACTGAGTACCGTAGGACAAGATTGTACTGGCTTCAGAGAATGGCAGAAGGGGTCAGGGTGTTATTAACGGTGCAAGGGGACAAATTATGGCAGAAATGGAAGCATTATTTGGGAACATAAAATCCTGTTCGAGTTGAAGAGCCTCAAACAAGAAAACATGTTTAAAAAGTATTTCTTATATGTCCAATGTTTCTGGCCATTTTTCTCCATTTGTTTCCTGGAAGGGGAAACTGGAGTGAAAATAGGCACCTAGACTGGTAACGAAAGGTGTGAGAGGTCCCTCCAGGCGGCCAAGCATGTCTCTCAGAGGCGTGAGTGAGAGAACCAAGCAGTAGACGAGGTTTGCAGCGGTGAGTGTGTTACGGGTTTTGAGCTTCAGTGCTTAACAGTACTAAAGACTTCAGCATTTATGTCGTCACAAAAGAAGGTAAATAAAACTCGAGGTTCACTGTGAGTGCCCAGTACAGAGCAGCTGCCATTGTGGTTGCCAGGTACAACAGTGCTTCATGGCACTCTGAGTAAATTATTTTAGTTGTGTTTCTATTTTCAGGGATGCATTTGTTTTGATCTGTCTCTATTTTTTGTGATAATTTGTATGGCAGATAAAAAACAGCGATGTTAATAGCATTTGTTGAGTGTGTCCGGTGTGCCGAGAATCGGGTGAAGAGCGTGAGGGTAGGTCGCTGTCGTCCAGTTTTACAGATTTTTACAGAATGCAAATGATGGAAGAAAGTGCAGTTGGGTTAGTGTGTGGAAGAACTCAGGTACCTGAACCCTGGTGGGAGCCACCGACAGCCATAGTCTCCGCAGAACCATGTGCTGGTGAGCTCCGAGTCACTTGCCGCAATTTAAAGCTTTAGAAAAAAAAGGTTTTGGTTTGACCTTGTTCATTAGCTGTGATTGCCACGCAAGGAAAATACTACTTACTAAAAGGGAGGAAGTTTTAATGCAATGTAAAAGTGAGTCAGGTTTCCCTAAGTTTGGAGCATTACTCAGATGCTCCTGATGTTTAGGATTTCTAAGTAAATATTTTCACTTTACAGTCTGCTGTTCAGACTGTATTCAGGGACAGAATTGTGTAATACATATTTTTAAAAACACATTGACAGGAGCGCTCCTCTTTAAAATCTGTGTATCCAACATGAGTATCTGAATGTATTTCAAGAGTATCTGGCTGTATTTCCTGAATATCTGGCATTTGTAGTTCTACACAGTGTATCTTGCTGTTTCAGTAGGAAATGGACCTCAAGGCAAATTGATTCCAAAGGATTTCAGTATTTTTGGTATGTCTACATCACTAATTGGAAGAAAACAAATCTAGCACTTCTGACTGAAGGGGCAAATAAATATATTTGTGTAATGTTCAGTTTGCCACCTTAATGGAAAGGAACCATGGTACGGCTGATTTAAAGTTGTCCTTCACAGTGACTCATTTTCATCTTCAGTTTTGGCTTCGGGGGGTTTTTCGGAGTGCACATCAGCTTGCAGTGGATTTGGAAGTGGCTCAGTTTGTGTTTGTGAAAGAAGAGTGTCACTGTAATTGAAAATGTGTTGCAAATGCTGCCAGAAGTTAGAATTAACACATAGGGAGTACATTGCATTTCCACTGTAGGCTCAGATGCATTTGCCTGTTCTTCAAGCAAATGTCCCGGGCAAAGCAGGCCTCATGCTTGCAACTGTCTGGACAAGCCCTCCTGTCCTCCTCCCCCCCATCTCTTAAGGTGAAATTAGTGTAGGATTGAGATCAAAGACATTTGAAGGGAAAAATAAGGCACAAAATAATTTAAA